TGCTTGCGAGGTTTTCATTTTTTTGTTTTTAAAATTAACAAATAAATAATTTTTTGTTTATTTGTTCGCTTTTTTCCATTTTCTCTTTTTTTTGTCTCTCTGTTTTCTTATCCTTTTTCTTTTACCTCCTCATTTTGTTGCTCAGCCTCCACCCACTGAGTGTCTAGACAAGTCTAAGTGAAAAGTTGCCAAAATCTGAATACTATTTGGGTCCTCATATTTCTCAAATCCCACGGAATCTGTGACACAAAGGGAGAAAAATGCAATGCCAAAGAGTTTGCAGACCACATCCTCCTGTGCACCTCTGATTGTTCAGATTGATCTCCTAGAAATTAGGAAGAAACCAATAACCCATCAGATGACTAGAAATCACTGCAGGGGCACAAGAAATTTGTGAAACCAAGAAAAAAATCTCACCCACAAGGGAAAAGAACTCTTCATACACAGACAGTACAATGGAACTCATGGAAATGTCTGGTAAAGAATTTAGAGTATTCATAGTGACAAAACTAACAGAGATGAAAGAGAAGACAGACAATGAACACCAGAAGAAAAAAGCCGATGAGTTCCAGGAGGTGAGGAAATTCTTGCAAGAACTGAAAGAGGAAATACACACCATAAAAAAGAATCAAATGGAACTGTTGGAGATGAAGGCTATACAGGAAGTCAAAACCTCCTTTGAAAGTATTCAAAGGAGACTAGAACATACAGAAAATTGATCTCAGATATCGAAGACAGAATCATTCGACTAGTAATATCCACCATGAAGACTGAGAAAATAGCCTCCCAAAACAGAGAATAATATACGAGAAATACTAGATACCATCAAAAGTTCAAACATCTGGATAATAGGTATCCCAGAAGGGGAAAAGACTCATAAGGGTATTGACAATATATTCCATGAAATCCTGGAAGAAAACTTCCCAAACCTTGAAAGGCATTCAAAGATCCAGACCCAAATACAAAGGACCCCAAACAGGATCAACTCAAGAAGGTCTTCTCCAAGACACATTATAGCCAGAATGACCAAAACCACAGACAAAGACAAGGTACTCAGACTGGCAAGAGAGAACTGTCAAGTTACCTACAAAGGATAGCCCATCAGGCTAACAGCGGACATCTCATTGGAAACAATGCGAGCAAGGAAAGAATGAGAAAATATATTCAAAGTGTTGAGTGAAAAACAATTTCCACCACAAATACTATATCCAGCAAGATTATCATTCATATGGGAAGAGAAGACAAGAACATTCTTAGATAAACAAAGCCTGAAAGAATTTACCATCAGACTAACTCTCCAAGAAATTCTGAAGGGAGTGCTATTTCAGGAAAACTAAAGTCAGACACACAAAAATAAGAGTTCTATAACATGTCTTGAAGATCTTCTTGGGTTGATTCTATTGGAGGTCCTTTGTATTTCTTGGGTCTGGATCTTTAAATGCCCATCCTTCATATGGGAAGAAAAGATAAGAACATTCTCAGATAAACAAAACCTTAAAGAATTCACCAACACCAGACCAGATCTCCAAGAAGTTCTGCAGGGAGTGCTATACCAGGAAAATTAAATACAGAAACACAGAAATAAGAGTTCAAAAACTAAGAAAATGGCCAACTTATTTGTAGGGACAAGTCTGGAGTGGAATATTATATTTCAGAATATTATTGGAAGATTGGACCACAACAGATAAGTACATGAGACTGAACTGGTGAAACAGAATTTTATGACATTTGACTAAAACATTGCTGATTTTCTTCTAGCCTTTGTTACTCAGTTTTAAGGATTTTTGTCCTGTCTTGAGTTGCCAATAGGTTCATGTACCTAGTATTTGAACAGAATCCTAACCTGTTTCCTGGCTTTAAGTTTTAAGCATAGTTCCTTAGCATTTCCTTGATTTATTAAAGGTAAAACTGCATTTCTTGAAATTAAAAAGATAGTAAAAAATAAATAATTAATTATTGTAGTAAGCTATATTGCATCAGCTAGGTGCTACCTCATAGCATATTCATTATATTCAGAATTTCATGCCTAAAGTTAGATGTGTATTCATAGGTATGTATAGATCAGCTGAGCTTGCTATTGAAAGTAGTTAGGTTATTTAAGAAATTTTGTGAATCAACAAAATGTAGGGGGAAAAAGGAATAGAAAACAATTGTAAAACTGACATAGTGTGGGAGGAGGGTGGGAAGTGGCAGAGGGTGAGAAATAGGGAGAAAAAATATATATACATAAAACTAGAAATGGAAAATTATTGACGATAATCTGTATGATTAAGCCACTATGTAGTAGAGTCTGGATGGGAAATCACATTTTGTATGCTATGACAACACTCAGTGAATGAATGTAAATTATTAATTAAAAACAAAAAAAAATAAAAAAAAGAATTCTAAAACAACTAAGAAAATGGCCAGCTTAATGGTAGAGACAAGTCCAGAGTTGAACATTATCTTCCAGAATTTAAACAGAAAGATCAGATCACAACAGAAGATAAAGTACATGAGTTTAAAATGGTGAAATAGAATTTTATGACTTTAAATTAAATTACTGATCTTCTATGGTTTGTTTCCCAGTGTTAAGGGTTTTTTTCTTCTCTAGAGTTGAGAACAGGTCCATGTTCCTACTATTTGAACAGAATCTTAACCTGTTTCCTGACTTTAAGTTTTAAGCAAAGTTCCTTAACATTTTTTGACTTTGATTTAGTAAAGCTAAAACTGCCTTTCTTAAAATTAAAAAATGTGTTTAAAAATACCTATTTAGTAACCACAATAAGCTACATAGCCTCAGCTATGTGGTATTTTATAGTATATTCATTCTTCCCACAGAGTTTCATGCCTAAAGTCACCTTTTTTTCACAAATATGTATATGTCAGCTGCACTTCCTATTGAAAGTATTTAGATTAAGATATTTTGTGAATCAATATAATGAGGGAAAGAATAAAGGAATGGAAAGCAACTGCAGACATCAGAGACAGGTTGGGAGGAGGATGGGAAATGGCAGAGGGTGAGAAATAGGGAGAAAATGTATATACAAGAAACAAGAAATGAAAAATTATTTGTTGATGATAACATGTATGATTTAGCCATTGTATAGTGTATTCTGGCTGGAAAAAAATGTATTTTGTATGCTGTGGTGATGTTCAGTGGAAGTATGTCAAAATAAATAAATGAATAAATATAAAAAAAGAAACGAAACACATGGCTAAAGAAAGTAGACTATGCTTACATTATAATGACATTTTCTCAAGTGACAATTTTCATAAAAACAACTTTAAAGTTTATCTTTTTTTATTTTGGAGAGGTTTTTGCTGTAGGGCTCACGCGCTTGCCAGAAAGAGAGAGAGACAGAGAGACAGAAAGCGAGAAATCACCCCCAGAGGGGATGGTCTCCCACAATCTCTACTCCTCTGTTCTCCTCTTGGGATCTTGGGCATGCAGGTACACGCGCCCGGCGTGAGTTTTAAGCCACCGGGTCTGGGACTCGAATGCAGTCAATTACATAGCAGTTCAACAACATAGCCATTACACCATCTGCTGATCCCCAAAGTTTATCCTAAAAGACATGATGAGGATATTTAGAGTTACTGTCATTTTGGCTTCAGTGGAGAACAATTAATTTTTGTATATTACTAATTTTTATGTCAAAATAATGCTTCTATTGTGTTGCATTTTCCTGCTTAACTAGTAAATTGAACATAACCATGCCCCTCACCCCTTCAAAATAAAAAGAAAAAAAGACTCGCATCCTAAAATGGGAATGGGAGAAGTGAGGCTATTATAAAAGGGTTACTTAAGTTTAGAGTGCTCTAAAGGGAAGACATACACTGATAAAGGAAAGGAGATTGGGAAGGGCAGAGGTAATGAGGGGTAGGAGTGAGCCAGAGAGGAATGTGAAATTGGGGGGAGAGGACAAAGGAAGGATGGAGGAGGTTTGATCTGAAGTAAGAGGAAAAGGGCAGAATTTAAGTAGTAATCCATGCTAGTGGTGAATGGAAAGGCATGATGGGGTAGAAAAAAATCTCAAACTTGGAAAATTAAGGAATAGTAGTATTTTGCAAGGTTATTTCCTCTGGGTGAGAAGTCAGGAGTTGAAAAAAGACATTGAGCACTTGAGGCACAAAAGACATAATATTTATTTTACATTCATCCAGCCAGCCCCTCTTGCAGACTTTGATAAGTAATACAACTCCATTAATTAATTATTATTTTTTCTGAAAACTTTCTTAAAGAATTTTGAGGTCATTGTGTAGGTTGGTATCACATATCTCACAGCATATTTCTACAGCCTATTGCTTCCATATATGCTATTTTATGGCTCTCAATCTACTTCCAAAACTAAACCTCTGACTCATTGACTTTTACTCTAGAAAGTAATGCTATTATTATTATTATTATTATTTTTTTAGAGAAATAGTTTTGCTATAGGGCACGTGTGGTTGCTGGAGAGACAGTGAGAAACAGAGAGACAGAAAGTGAGAAGTCACTTCACGGGGTCACACTGCAATCCCTTCTCCTTCATTCTCCTCTCATGATGTTGGGCATGCACACACACAAGCCCAGCATGAGTTTTATGCTGCCATGTCCAGGATGTGAACTATGGACGAGTACAGGAGAGTCCAGTGGCATAACCATTACACCATTGGCTGGTCTCCAAAGTAGTGCTTTTGGAAGATGATCTTGTTGTCTTCTTCAATAGTTTTCTCTGAAGGAGAAAACTTTAATCAAATCCAGAATCAACATGTCTGCTGCATTACATTTGGTCCACCAATCATGAAAATGTGTTACTAAGAAAAGTTTAGAATTATCAATCTATGCCCAAAGTGATGTCAGAAAGATGAGCCTTAGATATGCAGAGGAACTTCAGACCTGATTCTAGTATAAAGGAAGGAATGAATGCTGCTTCCTGGAGCCTTTCAGCACTGGAGGGTTACTCATTTTTCTGCACAGGGCAAAGGTAATGCCCTTTCACCCCAGGGAAGGGTCTGGTCCCCCAAGAAACTTTCTGCTATACAGACTCTGCCTGGGCCTGGCTGGTTCTCCAAAGGGCCCTCACCATGGCTCCCTTCATTTCCTTGTTACGGAAACTGTAGATGATGGGGTTACACATGGGGGTGATGATGGTGTAGAGGAGGGAGAAAGGCTTGTCTTTGTCAGGTCCATGTGTGCTGCGGGGATTCATGTAAGAGAACATGGCCGAGGTGTACAAACACACAACCACAGTCAGGTGAGAGGCACAAGTAGAGAAAGTCTTCCCCCGACCTGAGGAGGAGGCTCTGCCAAGGATGGAGGCCAAGATGCGAGCATAAGAAGTCACGATGAGCACCATGGGACTGAGCAGCACCACAATAGCATCAGCAAAGATTATCTTCATGCTGAACTGAGGGTCCCCACAGGAGAGAGCGATCACTATGGGGGCCTCACAGAAAAAGTTTTCTATGTGGTTATCTTTGCAGAAGGGGTTCCGGAATGACATATACTCAAGCAGGATGCCATTGATCAGACCAAAGAACCAAGCTGCACCCACTAATCTAACACAGACCTGCCGGCTCATGATCTGGGCATAGCTAAGTGGGTGACAGATAGCTACATAACGGTCATAGGCCATAAAAGCCAACAGGATGCACTCAGCCACACCTACACAAAAAACCAAGTACATCTGGATCATGCAAGACACAAAGGAGACAGTGTGGTTCTTGACCACCAGGTGGATCAACATCTGTGGGATGGTGGTGGTGATGAAGCAGACATCCAGGAAAGACAGGTGGCCCAGGAAGAAGTACATGGGGCTGTTGAGCCTGGGGTCTGTCCAGGTGATGAAGATGATGAGGCCATTCATGGCCATGGCAAGGCTGTAGAGGGTTAGAAAGAGGGCAAAGAGCAGTGCCCGAGTGGAAGGGGAACTCTGCTCAAAGCCCACAAGGATAAACTCTGTCACCTCTTGGGATCTTGGGCATACTCATACACATGCCTGGTGTGAGTTTAAGCCATCAGGTCCGGGACTCAAACCACGGTCAGCTACATGCAAGTCCAGCAACACAGTTATTACGCCAACTCTGGTCCCCCAAGAAACTTTCTGCTATACAGACTCTGCCTGGGCCTGGCTGGTTCTCCAAAGGGCCCTCACCATGGCTCCCTTCATTTCCTTGTTACGGAAACTGTAGATGATGGGGTTACACATGGGGGTGATGATGGTGTAGAGGAGGGAGAAAGGCTTGTCTTTGTCAGGTCCATGTGTGCTGCGGGGATTCATGTAAGAGAACATGGCCGAGGTGTACAAACACACAACCACAGTCAGGTGAGAGGCACAAGTAGAGAAAGTCTTCCCCCAACCTGAGGAGGAGGCTCTGCCAAGGATGGAGGCCAAGATGCGAGCATAAGAAGTCACGATGAGCACCATGGGACTGAGCAGCACCACAATAGCATCAGCAAAGATTATCTTCATGCTGAACTGAGGGTCCCCACAGGAGAGAGCGATCACTATGGGGGCCTCACAGAAAAAGTTTTCTATGTGGTTATCTTTGCAGAAGGGGTTCCGGAATGACATATACTCAAGCAGGATGCCATTGATCAGACCAAAGAACCAAGCTGCACCCACTAATCTAACACAGACCTGCCGGCTCATGATCTGGGCATAGCAAAGTGGGTGACAGATAGCTACATAACGGTCATAGGCCATAAAAGCCAACAGGATGCACTCAGCCACACCTGCACAAAAAACCAAGTACATCTGGATCATGCAAGACACAAAGGAGACAGTGTGGTTCTTGACCACCAGGTGGATCAACATCTGTGGGATGGTGGTGGTGATGAAGCAGACATCCAGGAAAGACAGGTGGCCCAGGAAGAAGTACATGGGGCTGTTGAGCCTGGGGTCTGTCCAGGTGATGAAGATGATGAGGCCATTCATGGCCATGGCAAGGCTGTAGAGGGTTAGAAAGAGGGCAAAGAGCAGTGCCCGAGTGGAAGGGGAACTCTGCTCAAAGCCCACAAGGATAAACTCTGTCACTGTGCTGCTGTTCCTCGGGTCCACTGCCTGGAGTCTGCTTGAGGAAAGAGGGCAAGAAAAGCACAATGGAGACAGCCTTAAGATAATGCATATAAGGTACTGAGTTGGGCTCCGAAACTCAACTATAGATAGATCAGTGGTTATAAATGGTTTAGAATTTAACAGTTCTAGGGAGATGGCAGTGGTTGAGACAGTGAAAATGCCAAGGTCACCACAAGCTGTGTATACAGAATCATAGTACCAAAAACTAAGTTAGTAGAGGTTATAGTCAGTCGTCACTTAACAACAGAGACACATTCTACGAAATGTATCATCAAGTGATTTTGTCCTTATGTAACTATCATAGAGTGAACTTACATAAACCTGGATTTACAGCCTACTTCACTCCTAGGATATGCAATATAGCCTATCACTTCAGGCTTCAGATCTGTACGTCATCTTACTGTCCTAAGTACTGTAGGCAATACTATATGTGTATCTAAACATATCTAAACACTAAAAAACTATGGTAAAAATATGATATAAAAGATTTTTTAAAAAATAAGGACCACACAGTTGCACTCCAGTAAAACACAACAATCCTCAAGGCATTCTAACATGGGAAGGTTTCTGGTTTAAGTCCAGAGACTTCCTGTAGTACTCTGGGCATACATGTGACCACGATCCAGGGCTATGAAAGGCTGGAGATAGATTGTGGTGTCAAAATCCTGTTGTTGCTACTTCTCTCTCTCTATCTTTCTCCTTCACTCATGAAGAACTTTAAAAGAAGAAAAATTGGTACCATCTGAATAGTCACTTACCATGAACTGCAGGACTGAACTCTGCTCTGGGTGAATTGCCGGGTGTTAGTGAATGTGAAGGCCTAGAACACTGCTATACACCACTATAGACTTTATGAACACTGAACACTGTTACATGAACTCCATAAGCATTTTTTCTTCAGTAAGCTTACTTCAGTTTTTCTTCAGTTATCTTACTGCAACTTTTTAACTTCATAACCATTTTAATTTTTAGAAACTTTTGACTCTGGTAATAGCTCTTAGCTTAAAACACAAATGCATTATACAACTATTTAAAAATATTTTCTTCTTTTATATACCCATTCTATAAACTTTTTTTTGTTTAATTTATAAACTTTTTTTAGAAAAGTAAGATGCAAGTACACACATTAGCCCAGGACTACATAGGATCAGGATCATCAATATCAGTTTTCCACCTCCAAATTTTGTTTCACTGGAAGGTCTTTAGGGGCAATAACATTCATGGAGCTGTAATCTCCTATGATAATAATGCCTTTTTCTGGAAAACCTCCTGAAGGACTTGACTTAGGCTCTTCTAAAGATAAATATTTCCACAGTGATTTGGTTTTTTAAAATCATAAATCTGTTCAGTGTGGGGGGTCCACATTTTCAAGCTTTCACTTTTTGAGGATTGCAAAAGCCTCTGCTAAACATTTCATTGTGAATTGACTTAAGAGTTCTTTTTCTTCTTGTAAACTTGTTTTCCTGTTCCAGTCTCAACAACAGGCACTCCTCACTTAACAACTGAATTCCGTTTCTACAACTAGGTAGTAAGCAAAATGGTCTATAAGTGGGAAGCTTAAAGGCTGATATCTTGTGGTGTGTCATGGCACCATAAGGTATGTATTTTTCAAGATACCACACTAGAATAATGTAATTCTATGCATACAAAAAATATACATTAGATAAGAGCAAGAAAACAAGACATACCAGAGTATGATAGTATAAATCTGGCATAATTGTTTTTATTTATTCTGGATACTACTATGGGTGCACAATAAAGCACAAATTTGTAAATAATACATAGTCTTGTGCGATTGTACAACTTCATGTAATGAATACTAACAATTGCGGGAATGAGGTAAAGATTAAGAAAGGGGATTCTTGACTCACACAGGCTGAGAAAAGGGATTCCACATACTGGAAAAGTGATCCTAAGTCTGAGCAGTCATTTAATAGGTAGGTCTTTAAATGAACAGTGGCTGTAGTCAATTCTTCCTGAACCACCTCAAGAGAGTCTTACTCTACATCCGGGTAAAAATCATTTGCTATCTTAACCAGAGCATTGTGGATTTTTGCAACCTTTTTATGCATGGTAAAACCTTTGATGTAATAGATGGATTTCTTCAGTGTCTTCTTCCAAATACTATTCATACATTCCAAGTGGCATCACAACCAAATCCATGTAAGGATCCTGAAGCAATCATAGATGTAATCCTTTCAGAATTGCATCAATGTCTTCTTAGTCATCTTCCTCAGTTACAGCACTAGGCTGGGCAAAGACCCTCCTCATGCAGCTTGTCTTAAAGGCTGCTATGACTCCTTAATTCATTAGATCAAAGAGGTGATGTGTAGAAGGAGAAATACCACTGTGATTTTGAGATAAAGAGCACTAGTTAGAGGAGGATGTATGGTTTCATGATCAATACAAGCATAATTTTGAAAGGTATATTATTTTTCAAATAATACTTTTCCATTTTGCTGGCACAGCAATTCAGAATGGTATCTTGGAAGAGAAGTTGGGTCATCCATGATGACTTTTGCTCTTGTAGTATACTGGCTGTGTGTGCTTATTGATATGCTTGAAGGCCCTGGGGTTCTTATTATGCCAGTCCAAAAAGGAATTCAATTTGTAATCTGCAATATTGCCCCTAAGCAAGACCATAATCCTGTCCTTCAAAGCCTTGAAACTTGGCATTGACTTGGCCTCCTTATGGTGAACGTCTTTTCAGGCATCCCTTTCCAGAATAGGGAAGTTTGATGCATGTAGAAGGTTTACTCTGGCAATTTTCCTTCGCAATCAGCTTATCTAGGGTTTCCAAGAATTCTTCAGCTGGCTTCACATCAGCATTCACAGATGCACTGCTCACTTTCACATTATGTACTGAATAATGATTCTTGAGTTGTTTAAACCATTCAGAGTGAGCAGTAAATTCAACATCATAGTCAGGTCCAGCCTTTCTTTCAACATCACAAATAAACTTTTTGCTTTGGCTTTGATTGTCATGGTGCTGAGATGTAGATACTTCTGCATTTGGTCTTTAATCTGGGTCATTAGATGTTTCTCTGCATCTGATATAGGCTCTTCTCGAATTTTGGTTAGTTTCATGCCTTCAGTGACGCAAATCCTTTAACAACTTCTGCCAGTTTGTTCTTGTTCTTTAAGATTGTGGTTGTGGTGGAATGGGACATGCCTAACTTCAAGTAATAGCCATCACTATTTTTTTCTCCTCCATAGTCCTTAATCAATTAAAATTTCATCTCCAAATCAACTACTTGACGTGTCCTCTTACTGGCAACAATAAGAGTGCATTTTGTACACTTAGGCACCAGGATGCAAAACAAACAAACAAACAAAAAACTGCAGGAGAATAATCAAGCACAAGAGAAAAATGGTAAAATTGAGAAGCTCATTACAGCCAAGATGTATGAGGCCATTGCCAACATAACATGATATATTTCTATTATTTTTATTATTTTTTTTTATTTTTAAGTAGGGCCAACAGATGGCATGGTGGTTAAAGTGCTGGACTCCCACATGGCCAACTGAGGATTGAGTCCTGGACCTGGAGGGCTTGTTTTCTCATTCTCTCTCTCTCTCCCTGTCTCTCTCTAGTGAGCACACATGTGCCCTATAGAAAATTAAATACTACTACTGGGGAGGGCCAGCAGGTGGTGTGATGGTTAAAGGTGCTGGATTCCCACAGGGCCAACCGTGACTCAGTCCTAGACCTGGCAGCTTGCTTTCTCATTTTCCCTCTCTCTCTCTCTGTGTCTCTCCGTCAAATTAAAAAAATAATAATAATTGAAGTTTGAATAAAATACTCCTTTAAAAACTACTTCTAGTAAATAAATAAAATTAAATAATTCTTTAAAAAAATTAAAAAAACGAGAGGAATACACTCTGAAATACTGATAAAACAGTATGATATAGCAAATATATAAGCAAGTAACATAGTTGCTTATTATCATGATCAACTATTACATACTGCACATCATTGTATGTCTACATCGTTGTATGACTAGCAGCATAGTAGGTTTATTTAGAGTAGTATCACCACAGATACATGAGTAACGTGTTGCACTATGACATTAGGATGGCTACAACATCTCTAGATGATAGGAATTTCTCAGCTCTATTATATAATCTTCAAAGACCACCACTGTACTATGAAATTTCAAAAATTTGTGGAAAATCAAATTAATGTGAGTTAATTTTGGTGCAAAACATTTTGAAGTCTACCCCTTGTATAGGTAGTCCATTGTTCACTGAAATATAATCATGTAGCACCATGATTGTACTTTAGTTTGATCAAGCCTCCAGTGAAGTACTGCATAGAATCCAGAGCCCTATATATGGATGTATTGTCCACTAATCAGCATGCATTCAAGGGTGAAAAAATAAAAAAGTTGAGTCTGCATCTCATGCCAAATGAGGAAAGCTGTAAGAAATTGAAAAGTGGAGTATTTAAGGAGAAGGATGGTGGCTATTAGCTTATAGATCATATTTAGAAAGCATTTGAGAAATATTTGAAGGTACATTTTTCTAGAAGAAAAAAATGCTGTCTTTGTGTACCTAATTTAGAATGGCGAGTTAGTTAAGGTTCCAGAGCAAATAAAAACATCCATGGGCCTGCAGATGGCATAGTGATTAAGGCACTGGACACCCACATATTCGACCACGGTTCAAGTGTTGGACTCACGCCATGCACACATTTTGTGTGACCAAAATCCCCAGAGGAGAATGGAGAAGGGATTGAGGGATGGCCATTCCCCTGGAGGGGGGGGGCAGGCGGGGGCAATTTCTCACTTTCTGTCTCTCTGTCTTTATCTGTCTCTCCAGTAAGCACATGCATCCTACAGCAAAAGTCTTTCTGAAAAAAATAGAAAGACATTCTAAGCCTCAGGATAGTCTATCAGGTGAGAGTACTTTGGGAGATACTCATGTTTAGCTCTTCCTAGTCATCCACCTCTTTCAGACTGACCCTCCTGGAAGTTGCTGCTGCTACACCAACCACACACACTGTGCAAGCTGGAGAAGGCCTGGCTGTGAGCTCTGGCGTGCTTTCCTAATGACAGATAGTTTTCCTCCTGGGATTGGAATTAAGGCTACATACCATTGGGTGGAAAAGATCCAACAATCCCTGTAAGAAAAGGGAAGTTATGAACAGTGAAAAAATCCCAATCTTTCTGGAATTACCTTCAGAGAATTTTAATCTGTCCTTTCGCTTCCCAGGAATAAATCTTTTTTCATCTTCAGAGAATGAGGATCACAATTTTCATGATCTTATCTCACAATTTAACTTTTATGAAGTCATTATGCTCATAATTAAATCTCTCTTGGACTTCTCATCCTGTTCTGGAGTTAATGTAGATCAGATTCCTCCTCCTTCAGATGCTTATAGACAGTTAATATATTCCTGCTTAACTTTTAGTTGTCCCAACTACTCCTTTGAATTTTTTGACACTTTCATTCTACCCTCTCTGATAGTCTTTTTTTCTCCTCCTTTTTATTATTATCTTCTAGTCCTTACTCTTTTCTTCTCCCACTCCCTTTCTCATCTTTAGTGATGGTTGCCTGCCATTCATCTGTGTGATTGAACCTCTCTCCACCATGTCTTTCAATCTCTCATATTCTCTCATGCATTTTTGAAGCTACCATCCCATTACTGTCATTCTTTGCACCTCTAGACCCCCTCTAGATGTGATTTCCTGGCAGGTCAAGATAGTGTCCAGGTGGTAGGCTTTTACTATAATCTCCACATGGAGATACTCCCCTTATATGTAGGACTTCTTAGGGCCCAGCGAGGGAATGGAAGAGCAGAGAGAACTGTTTTAGATGTGGCTATGGGGCTCAGGTCAGAGACTGGGCAAGGTGAGCTCTACTCCAGAGATGCTTGGAACTTTTTTTAAGAAGACACTGAGGTTTGACCAGATGAATCATTAGAACCTACTGGCAGATAAATGCTTACCTATGACTCATTGTACCATATAGAATACTCTATGGTATCTATCATCTAGTGCTTTGTTAGCTACTATTTGGGGTTAATCAGTTAAATACTTGGGATAAGACAATGGAAATGACATCCTACCTCATTCTGTTGCTCAGCTGGTAGTGACGTTTGTCACTGAATCACGGTGGCAAGTAACAGAGAAGTTCTCATGGTGTTTGAAGAGGAGCTGGTCCAGGGAGGCTGGTCAGACCTGGTGGGCCAGTCTGGAAGAGAAGGTGTGTCTGATGACCTTGTTAGTCCTTTGACCTCTATACTATCAGAGATGAGTGTTTATTTAAATAATATACTAAATCGTGTGTGTACAGTGCATTATAGTGTATAGATGTAAGGCTTTACATGCTCCATATAATTTGTTAGTAATCATATTATATTCTTTTTCATGTTGTATATTTTGACTATCTCCAGTGTTTTAAATTTTTTCTCAGTGCTAACTAATTGAATCATAGCACCTTGGCTTGACCATTACATCCTTTCCAGCTAATAGAAGAAATACCAGTAAGAGAATAAGAAAACATTCATTCCTCTTTAGCTGCAGATAAACATTATTCTGTAGCATAAAACTTGTCCTTGTGAATAATTCTTTTCTTTTCAAGTTAATGAAAACAAGTCTTTATTAAGTAACTCTTAATATCAGAAAAATAAAACTTTTACAATTCTCTTTACAGCAAATATGTCAGTGCTTTGGCCATCTTGAATTAAAGGCCTTTCATCCTAAAATATATGTTTTTTAATGTGTTTAGTTTTGAGAGGTTTTTGCCTTAGGGTGCATGTGCTCACTGGAGAGAGAGACAGACAGATACAGTGAGAGAGAAAGTGAGAAATCACTCCCCAGGCGTATGGCCATACCACAATCCCATCTCCTCGTTTCTCCTCCTAGGATCTTGGACATGTCCACACACATACACCTGGCATGATTTTCAAGCCACCGGGTCTGAGACTCAAACAGTGACTGGCCATGTGGGAGTCCAGTGATGTAACCACTATGCTATCTGCTGGTCCCATAAAATACATGGTTTTAAACTTTACTCAAATTGAATTTATAATCCTTATGACTACATATACATAACAAAAGAGTATAGTAAAATTGGCAAATATTAAACTATGTTGATGATTTATCATTCTTAGTTTGTGGATTTTAGAAACAGTATATGCACCTAATATATATGTCAATTCCTTGGTTTATTAGTTGCAATAAATATCCTTCTAAGAATAGACTTCAGAAACTTTGTTATATCTTCTAAAACTAATTATTAACCTCTAAAATATCTTCTAAGAATAGACTTCAGAAACTTTGTTATGTCTTTTAAAACTAATTATTAACCTCTAAAATAATTTCTAAATTATGAAACTTCTATTGATTGTCTTAATTAATGATAATGGTAATATTTAAATTGATGGTTCTGTTTTCTGAAAGATTACTTAGTTAAACCAGAAGAGGATTATAATATTTTCTTCTCCCCAATTCATAATGACAAGATAAGAAACTACTCATGACTGCTTGACTTCCTATTAAAGAATTGAGGTTCCTGGGACAGCAGCTGTGGCCTAGTGGTTAAAGGAGCTGGATCCCACATGGCTGACCATAGTTCAAATCCAGACTGCTCAGCTTGTTTTACAAGCTGAGCACATGTGTATGCCTTTTCAAAATTCCAAAGGATTGGAGACTTGGAGAAGACAGTATTACCAAGTGATCACACCCCATTGGTGGGTGTTTCCTCCATCTCTGTCTCTCTCTGGCAAGTGTATGTACCCTCTGACAATGAAAACAAAAAAGAACTGAAGGTCTGCAATCTCATTTAAATCACTAATAGTTTACAAAGTAGCTAATATACATAATGACATCTTATTACTGTATCTTGATGGATTTTAATCTCATATACTAGTGAAAGTGACAGGTGTACAGTGCTTAGCAGTATAGATCGGAAGCCTTATATGTCCATTATACCATTTACTAATAATTATACCAGGGAAGACCCTCTGAGTTACAGTGTACAAGGTAGCTGAACACAGTTTGGCAAGGAAAGAAAAACAGAAAATGATTCTCAGTTGTGGGTCTAGAGTGTCATAGATGATCTAATTAATCTACTGTTCTGAC